TAAAAAATTTTATTGTGAGTTAAATGGTGAGGTTGTTTGGAAAATATTGTGTGTTCTATTTCCTTGTATCTAAAAATCCCTGTAACCTACTTTTGTTATAGTGAGGAAATACTCTGGAGCTATTGTTGTTGTGGGTTTTCATAATAGTCATGATATATTACATTATTAAATTACTGAAGTTAAGTTAGCCTAAGGAAGTTGGCTCAAATAGTTCTGAAGGTTGTAACCCCAGTTCCAACTTTCCTGGTAAGTTTTTAGTGTAAAGACAATATATTAGCCATAACTATTAAGCAACGGGGAATTATAGCCACAACTATCAAAATACAAATTATTAGCCAATCGCTAAGTTTTCGTTAACACTTCTGTTAGTAATGATGACTAAACTTTTACGATGCTGAGTTGGCTCCCATGTGGCAGTCATCATATCATATTTTTTACTAATGCTGACATGGCCTTCTCTGTTAAAAATTTGAAAACAGTAACGGTTGTTAGCCAAATCTTGACCCGCAACAATAGTTATGGTCAATAATTTGTATTTTGATAGTTGTGGGTATAATTCCCCGCTACTTAATAGTTATGACTAATATATTGTATTTACCCAAGTTTTTATTGAGAAGTTTTATTAGTCTAGTATATGTACCTGCTGTTCTCACGCACTATATTTCACACATCTAATAGCTAACATAGAATGTTGTTGTCCAGTCTGACTAATATATTTCTCACGGCACTGAATGTGTTGTCCAGTCTGACTGCCAGGCGTTAGTGAAAGCTCTTGATCAAGATCCTCGATGTTGGCCATGGCGGGGATCAGCTTGGATTGGATCAATGATCTCTATCCTTCGGTCGAACCCTCAAATGAAGGTCAAGGCAGTTTCAAGAAAGTTTAATGTTAGAGCGGATTGGGTTGCTCGCTCTCTTGCTAGATCCTCGCTCCCAGTTAACTGGATTAGTATTCTTGACTTAATTTCTGATTTCCTTTGAAAAGTGTAATTGGTCTCTCGAGTTGAAGTGGAATAAAAGGATGATTTTTACTGTAAAAAAAAAAAAAAATAGCTAACATAGAGCATAGAGATCAGACAGATTACAAGGGCAAGTGCTACCTGACAATCAAAAGACAATGGGATACTTTTGCTATTAGAATAATTGCAAAGAACGTAGCACTACTAGCTTATATGGGTCCACGTATGATCAGTTATTTTATGGATATATGAATTTGATAGTCCTCTTACTTTTAAATGTTTTCATATGGCCAATTGTAACTTTATATATGGGAAATCGTACATGACAATCAAAATATAAGAAGTTTATAGAATAATAAAGTGTGATGTATGTCCAAATGTGTTAGGCAACCATTCATTGGATCCAAGGTATGAAATTTTTATTAAGATATGATTCACGCCCGTCCGATGTTAGTTACTCTAATACGATACCACCCTAATGGAATGTCAACTTGAGGATATGTGCTTAAAGTACATGGATTAACCTTTGAAACCCTTTTATGGGCTAAACCTCCTCACAGATTGAGGAAAATCTATCTATATCTATACTAAGTATTATATGACAATTCAAAAATAACTTCTTGCCCCATAAGCACTTGGAGAATTCACAAGTTTCTAGGGTGGACAATTTTCTTACAAATAACAAATGTAGTTATATAGATGTAAGCAACAGTAGACTACTATTTGGAGAGTGACATTTATCAAATTTGTCTAAAAAAAATATAATTAAACCTTACCAAGTAATACTCATTTTTACTAAACACTTAATAATAAGTTACAGTTTGATGAAAAAATTATGAACAACCACGAGTCCCTCACCGAAGTGGTTGACAACACAACATTGTCATTGGGTTCTGTCTCGTATATCATCGTAACGCCCTTAATCACTACAAAAAGGCAGTCAGTTGTGACGAAAACTTACCGACGACTTATAAAATGCGTCGAAAAAGATCACTAATTCTGACGACAAATAATTTGCGTCCTTAATAATGAAATTATTACTGAACGAGGTGAATTTTTGTCAATAATTGTATTGTTTTCGTCAGTAAAATGTATTTTGGACCGGTTTCAGTTTTCTACACTCATTATTTTTGACGATTTCAAATTTCACGTTAGAAATAATCATCATTACTGACCAAGGTTGTCAAACCGGTTTATGCCAGTGTGCCGGTTTAGCAAGTGGAATGGTTCGACCGGTGGCACATACCGGTTTGTGCCGGTTCATGCCGGTCAATATTACAAATAAAATTATAAATATTCATAGTTAAACATGACATTTAACGTCAATACCTAAACATTTATACTTGAATCCAACAAATAACATCAATATTTAATTTTTATACTCATAAAATAAATAACAAAATAATTTTAACAATTAAATTCACTAAAATAAGATCATTTTACTTAGAAATTCGTATATCGATCATGCCGGTCATACCGGTAGTGCCACGCCGGTTTTATGACCGGCACCGGTTGAACCAGGTAGAACCGGTGGCACGCCGGCCAACATGACAACCATGTTACTGAACAATACAAAAAAAGTCGTAAGAAAAAATAAGTATTGTTGACGCCAAAATATCGCTTGTAAAAAAAAATTACGACATAAACTAAAAAATATTTGTTACGCCATTTAAAGTTCATCAGTACTAATTGGTCATAACTAAAAAATAATTTTGACACCATTAAATGTTCGTCAGTACTAATTGGTCAGAAAAAAAACATTTGTTACGCCATTTAAAGTTCATCAGTACTAATTGGTCAGGAAAAAAATATTTGTTACACCATTTTTTTTTATGGAATTTGTTACACCATTAACAGTTCGTCAGTACTAATTAGTCAGGAAAAAAACATTTGTTACGCCATTAATAGTTCGTCGGTATGGTTTGGTCAGAAAAAATATTTGTTACGCCATTAACAGTTCGTCGGTACGTTTTGGTCAGAAAAAAACAATTTTGACGCCCTAAGCATTTCGTCTGTACCATTTAGGTCAGGAAAAAAACAGTTTTTACGCTGTTGAAATTTCGTCAATACTGTTTAGTCAGGAAAACATCATTTTTGACGCCATAAACATGTCGTCAGCATTAAATGGTCAGAACAAATAAATTTTTATACACCATTCACAATTCTTCAGTACTGTTTGATTACAAAATTGAAACCTTTCTTACAAAATGATTGGTAGGCAGTTATGAAAATCAGACAAGCATATGACATTTTCTAGAAATGATTATTGAATCGATAAAAAAATACATCTTCTTTAAGTAATTATAATAAGCACTGTTATATGAAAAATAGAAATTATGTAATATTTATCCCGATCTACAAAGACCAAATTAGTCCTACTTAATCTTCGAACCCTGCTCTAGTCCAGTTTATGAGATCATCTCTTGCAGTTTGGATTACCCCAGGATCATCAATTAAAATATTGTCTTCTTGATAGGCTTCTTCTAATGCTCCTTCTCCTTCTCCTTCTGTATTAGAAGGTATCGCGAACAAATTTCTTGGTTGCGTTTCAACCACAATTTCCCAATTTGGACCTCTCAAAGACTGCACATAATAAACTTGAATTGCTTGACTAGACAGAACAAATGGCTCATCTGTTCTAAGCCTTCACGTTATGTTGATGGTAATAGTGCCATGTCCATCCTTCTTGTAACCAACGCCTTCGCGAGCGCTGTCATACCACTCACACTGAAACAGTACAACTGGAAGCCCTTCAGTATAACGAAGCTCGATGATATCGGTAAGAATGCCATAGTAATGAATTCCATCATCGTTCTCACCTCTCACCATCACACCACTGTTCTGACTACTTTTGGTTAACTCGCGAGTACTAGTGTGAAATCTGAATCCATTGATACAATATCCTGTGTAGTGCAGGACTCGTTTGTCTGGCTCTCGAGCTACAGATAACAAAGAAGGATTCAAACTTGGCACTTTATCATTGTGCATTCATGTAATCCGCAATAATTGGAAGGATAAAATTAAAATTAGCTTGCGATAATTTTTTTAATATCAAAATTCTTTATTATATATGACACGTACGTACCTCTAATAAGAACCACTTAAGCAAATTCTTTCTTATGCACTGCTTCAACCATACGAACACCTCGATTACTTAGTTGTTCCTAGTGAGTTATGTAATTGCACATTATATGTTATTAATTAAAATAAATTATATTCTAGCATACAATAAATAAATAAAAATTGGTATGTATATGTACCTTATAAAATCTTGCACCTCGTCACAATTTTGTAGAACATAAGAAGCTGCCGCTTTCCACAAATCAATATTGAAGTCTCTCATGTCGTCCTTCACACCAATGGCACAACTGACACCCGGAACAACTGATAAGTCATGAGCTGGTTGTGCCGACGATGCAGATTTATCTACATTTTCTCTAACATATTTTATATTTAGCTTATAAATATAATATTTTCATGAAATTGTGTTGTTTTAATGGATTTTCTTCATTCTAGTGAATTATTGTCATACTTTTCATCTTACGTAAAACCTGAACTACTTTGGGTAGGGTAACAGATATGCAATATCTGTCCCCGACCCGACCCGTTTATCCCTACCAATCGCACGTCCTACGCCCGGAACAACTGATAACTTATGAGGCTGATTGAACTAAAAATAATTATCTTCATTCTCTTCGGCCGACTAAAATAATAAAATATTTAAACCCCTTCCCTTTGGCAAAGCAAATAAAGTAAAAATTAAAATAGGTAGAGTTGTGAAAGGAAGATCAAACGTCAAGTTTCCTCCTCTCACTGTGGCTAGTTATGATTCCAAATTTCCAATTAATCTAAAAACAAATTAAATAAATTGACCCCTTTATGTGCATTACAGGTCACCCATAATTGTAGTTCTAGAATCTCCCAACGAATCTCAACAGTCGAAGGGTGTTTTGGACAAAGTTAAGGACCGAGTATAGAGCCCTTTAAATCAACAAAATGAAACCTTAATCTATCTAAAACAGTAAAACCTAGCCGCCTCCATCCACCCATTCTTCCTTATATTCTTTTCAGAAATCGGATCAATGGGTAAAGCTAATCCCTTTTCCTTCGTCTCTCTTCCATCTCGATCTACTTCACCTCGCCCTTCATTTCCTCTCGTCATTCCTGTTTTGTGAAGGCCAATCAAAATGGAAACACCTAGTCGAGCCTCCCTTCATCCCTTGACCTCGATCTTCTAGTCCTACTTCAGGAACTTCTACCGCGACGATGGAGATGGCGGCGTCCGGGCAACGTAACGATTTCATCGAGGGATTTGATTTCGGTTAGGTTTGTGATTATATTTCGATTTGGATTTGTATGTTGGTCGGTTTTGATTTCACCGAGAGAGTAGAAAAGGGGAAGGCCGGTGACTCTGAAGTGTGAACCTTACCGGCGGCCAAATGGACCGACGATTGGTGGCCGGTTGGCAAGGGCGCCGCCGCCGACAGCAGAACAATGCCACATACGAGGACCCTCTGGTAAGTTTGGTTTGACATTTGGATGTATCTAGTATTTTTTACTTTGTACGATTTTTAATTATTTTTATTTTTTCTTGGCTTCGGACGAAGTGGAGGTAATAGGAGATCGTCGTCACCTGTTCCAAGTTTCGCCGGCAGCGAAGGTGACGATGGCAGGAGAAACCCTATAGTTATCAAGAAAGGCAACAATGGCGTGAAACAAATCGGGAGGGTCATCAGTAGCTTCATAGAGAATATTATTGTATGATTTTGTTGTAAATGGCAGGAGAATTTTTCTTTTTACCTTTATTTTTATTTTAGCGGTATGATTTACAAAGTAAAATCTAAATAACAATTTTATATATTCCTACATTTCTTAATTTGGTACATCAATTTTTTTCATATAACAAATTAACAATATATTATTTTCATAAGTAAATATAATTTCTTTGATGAAGCATTTGAAAATCAAATTATTAATGATAAATAAGTGTAGTTAGTAATAATAGTATCTCCTATGACGCATTGAAAATACTAATTTTCAACGATAAGTAGTTGTCCTCAGTAATTATAATTTCTCTAACGACACGTTGAAAAAAACGTATTTCTGATTATACTTTGTTGGCGTCAGTACAAATAATTTTTTGACAACATGTTGAAAATAATATATTTTGCCATCTTATTGTGAGTGAAACGGAGCTAGTGAGAGAAATCCTCCCATTTTCTTGGCGAGCTAGGGTTCTGCCGCGGGCCTAGCTGGCCGTGCCGGCATCTGCGCCGGTACGTTTTTTCTGTTCTTCGAGATTCTTTGAGATCGATGGCTGCCGAAGCGAGTGGTTTAGGTGAGGAGGGCGTTCCTGTTAAGCCTTGGGCGGAGCTGTTTGGCATCGCTGAGGCGAATCGTCTCGAATACATTCCACCGGAGCTCTTCAAGGGCGGAATTCGAATGCCAAAGGTTTTAAGTGATGAGGGCGCGGCTCGATGGAGACACAGTCTGGTTGGACAGTTCCTTCACCCTTCTCTGCCTTCCCTTCTGGAGCTCCGGCGATGGGCGAACAAGCTGTGGGGACAAGACGGTGTTGTTCGGGTTTCTCTACTGGGAAATCAGCTTCTTCTCATTCAACTGCCTTCCCAGGAAACTTGTGATTGGATCTTGGAGAGTGGGCCTTGGTTCCATGCGGATAATATGTTGTATCTTCGACCTTGGACCCCGGGGATTGATGTGGAAGATTTGGGGAATAAGGCTCTGCCTATATGGGTGAGGTTCACTAATGTTCCATTGGAGTATGTCAACTTTCAAGGTATGAGTAGGTTGGGGAGTTTTCTTGGAATTCCCTTGGGGGTTGACCATACCACAAGATTGGGGGGTAGGCTTGGCTGCGCGAAGGCTCTTGTAGATTTGAAGGCGTCAGCTCAATTCCCTGATCATGTTTTGATCTGGCCGACTGATGAGCGTTCAATCAAGGTGGGGGTGACATACAGCCATCTGCCTCCTGCTTGTGGCCAGTACCAGTCTTTTGGCAAGTGTGGATGTAGTAAGAGGGATCAAGCTCAAAAGCCTAAAGGGGGTCAGGGAAACAATGAAGTTGAAAGGGTTTGGGTTAAGAAAGCGGTTAGGATGCCTCAAAATACTCCTGCCCATATTGGTAATCCTTGAGGAGTAGATAAGGGGAAAAGTGTGATATCTGATGCTGTGCAATGTACTAACCTTATGGTTGGCTCAAACTATGTAGGCATTAACTTGGAGAGCTCCTTTCAATCGGTTGCAGAGTGTAGTTCACCAGTGCTGCCCTCGGAGGCTGAATTTCAGAAAGTGGTGAATGGGGCTAGGCCGAGATGCTGGTCTCCACTCCCTAGTCCAACCAGTGTATTGCAGACTTCTCAAACATTTGCTGCATTGTAAGGGTTGGGGGAAAGAGATCTTACTTAGTTGCAGGCTGCTCCAAAGAAGGGTGGTAAGAAGGGTGGGGGTTCTCATACCTCCCCTGGATGAAGATTTTATTCTGGAATGTTAGAGGGTTTAACAAACCCTCTAAGAGAAGGGACTTTGCACAAGTCCTAAGTAGACATAAGGTAGATGTAGTTGCTATTCTTGAAACAAGGGTTAGAAAAGCCAAATCTGGAGAGAATGTAATGGGGTTTTGCACAGGGTGGAAGAGATTTCTTAATTACTATGATAGTGATCTGGGCAGGGTTTGGATGTTCTGGAATCTAGACATTGAATTTCGAGTTCTTGCAGCTAGGAAGAACTATGTTCACTGTGTAGCTAGAGAATCGAGTGGTGCTAGTTGTTTCATCACTAGTGTGTATGCTTCTAATGATGAGACTGAGAGAAGGGATACTTACAGAAGCCTGTCTAGGTTCAAAATCTCCTCGATCCCATGGATTGTGGGAGGGGATTTTAACTCTGTTTTGTCCCCTCTTGAAACTTCTAACCTATCCATGATGACTAGCTGCATGATGGATTTCAGAAATTGGGTTGATAGTATGGAGCTGGTTGATCATAGGTCTAATGGCCCGTTCTTTACTTGGACAAACAGGCAAAAGGATAACCCCATAGCTAGGAAGCTGGATCGGGGGCTGGTTAATGAGGCTTGGTTTGATAATTTTCCTTGCTATAGTATTGAGATCTTGGTGGGATCCTTCTCTGATCACTGTGGGGTCTGTGTCACCATGAAGCCAGAGCAGAAGTCCATGCCAAAGCCATTTAAATACTTTGAACTTTGGGCAGGACACCCTGATTTTTATCGTATTGTTGAAGAAGGTTGGTCTACACAGGCTCATGGGGACAAATTTCAGGTTATCAAAGCTAAGCTTAATGCTGTTAAGAAGGGGTTGAGGAAGTTGAACAAGGAGGTCTTCAATGACATTAGTGGGCAGGTGCGAGACATTGAAGGGCAGTTACTTGCTGCTCAAGAAATGTCCCTATCTAATCCCACTGGTGATCTCTTTGCTGTGGTAGAGGATCTTAGCTATAAACTTGTGAAGCTGAAGAAGGATGAAGAGAGTTTCTATTGGCAAAAAGCTCGAGTTAATCATCTGAAGCTGGGGGATCAGGGTACTCGATTTTTTCATCAATAAGTAAAAATCAAGACTGCCAAGAAGGCTATTCGAAAGTTAGTACTGGAGGGGGTGAGGAGATAGTGGAGATGGATGATATTGCAGCAGAAGCAGTAAAATTTTATAAAAATTTGTTTGGTTTTATTGATCCTGAGGTGCACCCTAGTAAACAGCACCTGGAGGGTTTGGTCCTGCATCGATTGAGTGAAGAGCAGCAATCTTTTTTGTGTCAGGATTTTATGGCTGATGATGTGAGACAGGTGGTTGCTGGCATGAGTTCTCATAGGGCCCCTGGCCCTGATGGTTTTTCTGCTGGCTTCTTCAAGCGCACACGGGGGATAATTGGGGAGGACATCACTGTTGGGATTCTGGAATTCTTCTCTTCTGGTAAGCTCCCTAGTAGTGTCAACTCCATAGCTGTGTCTTTAATACCAAAGGTTGCCTCTGCCTGTAGGCTAAAAGAGTTTCGCCCAATTTCGTGTGTGAATATTCTCTATAAGATCATAGCTAAGTTGCTTGCAAATCGATTGAGGAAAGTTCTAGCTAGTGTAGTTAGTGGCAACCAGTCTGCGTTTATAGAGGGGCGAAGGATTGTTGGTAACATACTAATGGCACAAGAACTAGTGAGTGGTTACCATAAAAGTTCCCTTTCTTCTCGATGTGCTATAAAGGTGGATCTTATGAAAGCCTTCGACTCAGTTCACTGGGGCTACCTATTTCTTATGATGGAAGTAATGGGATTCCCTTAGAGATTCATATATTGGATTAGACTTTGTGTCAAGAATGCAAAATTTAGCATCTGTGTTAATGGTGGTTTGTGTGGCTTCTTTGGAGCACAGAGGGGGGTGAGACAGGGTGATCCCCTCTTACCTTACCTCTTTAACATCGCTATGGAAGGACTGTCCCTTCTCTTGAACCGAGCTGCTGCAGAAGGTTCCTTGGCGTTTCATCCACAGTGCAAGAAGGTTGGTTTGACACATTTGTGTTTTGCTGACGATTTGCTCATCTTCACAGAAGGTTCAGGGCAGGCTATTCAGAAGATTCAGGGGATTTTGAGAGAGTTTCATACCTTGTCAGGGCTGAGATGCAATCCAGGGAAATGCGAGGTGTATTTTGGGGGAAAGTCGATACAATTTAAGCAGACAGCCTTGAGGGTTTCAGGTTTTGCTGAAGGAATCTTACCTGTGCGATACCTGGGGGTCCCTCTTCTTTCAGGGAAGCTGCCTGCGAGTGAAACTGATAAGTTAGTAGGCATAATTACAAAGAAGATTCAGTCTTGGCGTGCCAAAAAGCTCAGTTATGCAGGGCGGTTGCAGTTGATTTCATCAGTATTGATGGGGACACTCCAGTACTGGATGCAGATTTTTATCTTACCCAAAAAAGTGATTAAACAAGTTCAGTTAGTATGCTCTAAGTTTCTCTGGCATGGGGGAGAAGAAGGTCGTGCTAAGGTAAGTTGGGATAGGATGGCCAGGCCTAGAAGGGAAGGAGGGTTGGGGCTTCGTGATTTATGTGCCTGGAACAAGGCATGCACAATTAGATTCCTCTGGTTATTCTTGATGAAGAGTGGAGCAATATGGGTAGCATGGTTTCAGCAGTATAAAGTCAAGGATCGTTGCATCTGGACAGTTTCTGATTGTCCGAGCAGTTCCTGGGCTTGGAGGAGGATTCTCAAACTGCGACCCCTTGTTCATCCTTTACTGATGCTGCATAATTCTCAGATTATGTGGAATCATAAACCTATGCCTGTTTACAAAGTTTCTGTTGTCTGGGACACCTTGAGAGTCAAGTACGAGGTGGTTGATTGGGCCAAGTTAGTTTGGGGGAAGTATTTTGTCCCTCGCAACAGCTTCCTTACATGGATGATTATGTTAGATGCTGTGGTTACGAAGAAGAAGCTGCTGACTTGGGGCAAGCTGACAGATGGATTATGTGTGTTATGTGGCACTGAAGCTGAAACTCGTGAGCACTTGTTCTTTATGTGTGAATTCTCTCAACAGGTTGTTAGGGCTGTACAAATGGGGATATTCTGTTGTGGTTCCTGGGAGGAAACAGTGGCTGCAGGTGTTGCTGGTTGTAAAAGGCCAACTCTGGGGAGGATCACAGGCTTGCTTTGGTGTCTCTGCTGCGCAGGGATCTGGAGAGAACGTTGTCGACGTTTGTATGCTAATGACAGTAAGCGAGTGGAAGTCTTGATCAGAGATATTACTTGTGATCTGAGGATTATCTGTAAGGATAATGCCAGTCTTACTGAAGGGTTGCTGATGCTTGATTTACAGGGGGGTTAGGTAGGAATACATTGAATGAGTTGTTATGTACTAGTGGTAGAAGGTAGGCGGTTTTACTATGACTTTTGGGGCTGCTCTACTTGAGCTTTCCTTCGTTGTATTGGTTTTGTCGTTTGTGCATTACAAATGGCTTTCCTTTTTTGCAAGTAATAATAAGGGGGAACTGATTCAACGAAAAAAAAAATATTTTTTTTACGCCGTAAGAACCTCACAAATGTATGTACAATGTATCAAAAAAATTATCGTCCTCAATTTTTTCGTTAAAAATATTTGTTTATGATGGGTTGACGACGTTGGTATAAATAGTATTTCTGAAAGCTAGTTAGAATTAATTTATTTCTTACGCATATAATTCGTCAAAAATGAATGAATAAGTCGTCGATAAAAAATTCGTCGACTTTAGCCATCATGAATAATTTCTTTATTGACATCATATTTTTTTGTGTCAACGATGTTGTGCCGTTGATAATTATTTTTTTCTAACGTCTTGTCAGTTATATATTATTAGCGACACGACAATTTCCGACGACGTTTTACGACCGTATGTCGTCGGAAAAGTTCATTTCCGACGCAAATCGATTAATTTCGACGAAAAATGTGACATCGATAATGACTGCCTTTTTGTAGTGAATGCTGGGTTTTGAAAAAGACTTTTCATGTCATTCCAATTTAGGTCCGATTCGGATCCCTCCGTTGTTTCCTTCTTTTTCCTACGCCCTTTCCTCGAAATGAGAAAGAAGACTCGGGATTCCATTGGAATATGTTGATTTGGAGGGATTGGAGTGGGTCACCAGTATGATATGGAAACCTCTTTGGATGGATCAGAAGACTCGGGCAGGAGGTCAACTTGATTTTGCAAAAGCTTGTATAGAACTGGGTGCCGATTTTAGATTCCTGTCGAAGGTAAAGTTCTATCCTGATGATTATCTTGTCTTTTAGATTGAAGTAGAATATTGGAATTTGCCTCCCGTATGTGTGAAGTGTGGACTGTTTTCCTCATCGTCTATGGTCATGAAAGGCAAAACTGGGGTTACATTGGATGAAAACAAAGACGAACCTTCTAGTGAAGATCCTGAGGTTGATAAAATTCTTGGGGAAGATATATTAGTTGAAGGAAAGGAAGCAAGTGAACAGTGAACTCAATTCCAGAGAGTGATGGTGAGGTAACTGATACATGTGTTGTGCTAGTTCAAAACCTCAATAAAGAGGCCACATACTCATCTCCTAGAGAGTCTTCAATTACTCAAGAAGGGAATGTATCAGAGGCAATCTTAGTAGAGCTAGTTCAGTCACATGAGCTAAATGTTAGTGCTGCTCCTCAATTAGTTGGGAGCCCCTCTTTGAGTTTTGCCTAGCTAGTTAAAGGGTCACCAAAGGCTGGGAGCCCTTGCACTGTAGGGAAAGTGGCTGGGTCATATAAGTCATCATCTCATAGAGACGGGAGCTTATTGACTCAGCCAGCTCAAGAGGGAAGCACACAATCAAGAGAGACTATCCCAGTAGGAAAGAAAAATCTGCAACCTCAAATGGATAAATGGAAGAAAGTTTGGATTGATACCCCGCAAATACCTCTCCAAAATCTGAAAAAAGGGGATAAGGGGGAAAAGGGTGTGAAAAGCGATGAAGATTCCGACCTGGAATATAAGAGGATTCTCTTATAATAATAAGTTTTCTGCTTTAATAAAGAAATTCAATCAATATAACATTAGTATAGTAGCTATCTCAGACCCACCGGTAATAAAAATCAATACAAAGAAACTACTTTAGAAAAGGTTCCCAGATTGGAATGAAAAGTAACATACAACTCTGATGGGTTGGGAAAGATATGGTTGATGTGGAAATCTGATTTCAAGCTTACTATCCTGCATTCATATGATCATTTTATTGAAGCACTTGTGAGTTGTGAATGACACTTAGCCATTGTTTGTTACCTTCATATATGACTCTAATGAAGAACTTTGCAGATTGAAGCTTTTTGATGACTTGAGAAGAGTGAGGGTGGTCAATGCACCTTGGATGGTGCTTGGCGATTATAATTCTATTAGGAAATTTTCCAAAGCCTTGAATTCTCCCTTGTATAATACTAGTATTTCTGATTTTGATGATTAGATTAATGAGTTAGAGTTAGAGTTAGAGTTAGAAGAACATTAGGCAATTGGTCATTGGTTTACCTGGCAAAACAACTAATCTGTTCGCCCTATAGCTCAACGACTAGATAGAGCCATGGGTAACATTGAATGTATAGATATATTTAAAGAAATTACATTTCATTTCCAGGGGTATCAGACCATTGTCCCATTTTAGTTGAAACAAATTTGCCTCAAAAGTCCCTCCTCAAGCACTTAAATTCTTCAAATTCTCGAGACAACATCCTAAATTTGATGAACTTGTTTTTGAAGCATGGAGTAATGAAGTTAGAGGTCCTCCACTAGGCATGGTTTATAATAATCTATATTTTTTGGAGAGCTTTGGAAGAAACTTAACAGATAATATTAATATATAAAGTTGAGAGTGCAAGAAAAAGAGATAGAACTAAATGATATTCAGCAGTAGGCTCTCTCTGATCCCTCATAGGATAATTTTTATCTTGAGTAAAAAATACCGTAGTAGTTGAAATTTATCATGGCAGTTGAGGAATCATTTCTCAAATCAAAATTTGGAGAGATCTGGTAAGGAGGAGACTCCAACTTTGCTTATTTCACATATCCCTGAAAACGAGGCAGAAGAGGAACACTATTAGGGTATTAAGAGACTCTCAAAGTTGTAGGGTAACTTATGTGAAGGAAATGTGTGAATTAGTGCAGAAAACTTCTATAAGGTTCTTATGAGAACCTCTGATCAGATTGTTTAGGAAGAGTCAGATGACTTCTATAAATCTCTATTTTGAAGAACTTGTTGCACATCTGTATGATTCAGTCTCAGCTGAATAAAGGGGTTAATTTTTTACAATTAATGGGATCGAAGTCCTGAGCCATATGGTTTATTTGCGATATTTTTTAATATGCGTGGCACGTGATTGAATCTAAGGTAGCATTTTTCATTCAAATTTGCTTTTTTCAAAGTCATATCCCTAGAGAAGTGTATGTCACTATACTTGCATTGGTACCAAAAGTCTTAAATCTTGATAAAATGCGGAGTTTCAGACCTACATCTTGTTATAATGTTATCTACAAAACTATCTATGAAATTATAGCTAATAGGTTAAGTCTTATAGGTTAAGTCCTCTTCTTCCCCATCTGATTAGTGAAAACCAAAAAGCCTTTGCTAAGGGAGGGTTATTAGAGATAACATACTTATAGCTCATGAATTAGTGCATAAATACTCCTAGAAAAGCATATCTTCTCGTTGCATTGAAAATTGATCTTATGAAGGCTTTTGACTTTGAGGATTGGAAATTCATATTTAAAGTTTTAAAAATGTAAGTTTCCCTTCTCAGTTCATAGGCTTGATTAGAATATGTGTAGGTACTCCCGTATTTAGTGTGTGCTTCGGGGGGGGGGGTTAGTAGGGTATTTCCCGGCTTGTAAAGGTTTTAGACATGACTGCCCCTTTGTCTTTATTGGTTTGTTGTTGCAATGAAGTTCTTCTCTTGCCTTATTGATTTAGCAACAACATTCTGTCATTTTCTCTACCACCCTTTGTGCAAAAAATTAGAGATTACCCACTGCTTTGCAGATAATTTATTAGTGTTTACAAATGCTTCAAACTATGGATTTCAAAGCTTGAACAAAATTCTTGAACATTTTAAGGTTCTTTCTAGTTTGATTTGAATCTTAGTAAAATTATTTTGAGGACTGTCTGAGCATAAGATTAAAGTAGAAAGATATAATTACCAGTTAGGGAAATTACCTGTGAAGTACATGAGAATTTCCATGTCTTTTGGTAAGCTAGCAGTGGAAACATTCAAGCCTTTGATAGATGAGCTAGTCGCCAGGATCCACAGTTGGAAGGCTAAATACGATCAATAGAAAAGCAAGCCTTTCAAGTTCTAATTACTTTTTGCGACATAATACTTTCATCATAGTACTAAATACGATCAATAGAAAAGCAAGACATGTAAGCGAGTGAAACTCTCATTTTTCATAATGATAGTGATATTCAAAAGAAAAGAAAATGTTTGCAAAATTTTACCCTACATGTTTTGAAACTTTTTTGCATGGCTGATTATCTGTCATTGAATTAAGAATGTCATATTGTCTTATACAAAATTTGCAGCCCACCTAAATTGGCAAGTACAACTATTGCTTTGTAAGTTGTTTATGATCCACTACCAACGATCAAAATAATGTGTCGGCTCTGAATTTTAGCGAGCTATATGATTACGCTTAGTCCTTGCTTTGTGAAAAATAAGGCTAAGGTGTGGGGTAATTTGATGACACTTGAATATAGTGTTTCTCATTCCTCTTTCTTAGCTAAACTCATTACATTGTGTATATATTGTTGTTCTTACTCTTGATGTGCTTAGAAATTTTTCAATGTGTGTTTTAAGGCCTTATGCATACTTTTATACTTTTGATACCCTTTTGGATAGTTTTTCATGGTTTCATACTGAATCACACCAAAGGAGTATCCTGGATTGGAGCAAGACCCAAATGATGAAGAAAAAAGATCAAGGAGCAAGAAAAAACATGAACGCCTTCACATCCATCCAATATGACCATGTCCCAAACACACCCAAATTTCTATTGGAGTCGATATATCCAAAGGCAAGTCCGGAAAGTTCAATGACCTAGAAGAAGAAGTATGATGGGGCAAGTGATGGGGTAGAATGACTGCTGAAGCTCAATAAGTGTGACATCCATTTCACTTTAAGAACCATCCATACATTCTTTATGAATCTTAGATGACCATAAACCCTTTAGAAGTTGGTTTTGAAGGAGAAACCCCTAACAACAGGCCTATTAACGCAGTGGACTACAATCTTGGAAACCATTAGAGCCTGGAATCATGGACTACTACTTATAGAGGGACCAGGAGGCCAAGACCTAGATGGATAGGCATGGTCAGGATTTCAAGATAATCCACCAATATCTATAGATCAACCAGTCTAATGAGGATAAGGATTGAGAGCATTCACTCTTTTATTTCTCTTCTATCGAGGATAATGGGCACATGTATTTATTTTTACCTTGTGTTTATGTATGTCTTCAGTCCTATATCTAGTTAAATGCCTCCGGTGGTTAGGATAATGAGCACTTGTATAATCTAAAAATTGATAAACAAACAAGATAGTTCTAAATGATTAGATTCTAAATTGCCTACATTTCTCAAATTTCTACATTTGGAAAAATGACTTTTGCAAACGACCCATGACTTGCTAAAACACAACTCCTAACAATGGCCAAGTGTAACCAATGAAAGGGACTGCATTATAGTGGCACAGGTAATAAATATCAATTCCACGGGTCTCTAGAGTTACTATTACTCAACTTCAGTTCATTATCTAGCAAACCAGATTAAGATAGAAGAACTATAACTACTCTAGCAAACTATAGTTAAAGTTAATCTAATTACATGGTGGGAACTCAATCAGGTATGATTCCCCCTTTCTCCTCAATTAGGTCCAAGTTGTAATTTCCTTTGGTTGATTTACTGTTGATTAAACTGCGGAAGATCCGAAAATAGCTTGGAATATCTTAAACTGACCAATCAAGGAAGCTCTATTAACCTAATAAGATTCTATCTATCATAGGTTAAAGCAGACTTAACAAAAAGCATGGGATAGAAACACTGTCGTTTTTCTCAGGTCGTGGCACTAAAAACATGGGCACAGGAGGGAAAACACGGTCGTGTTTCTTCCCCCGAACCTGTTCCACTGTCTTTGATTCTTCGTTTCTCCCTCGTCCGGACTCCGAATCGGTCCCCATTTGTTCCCAGACACTCGTAGTCTCATCCTCTATCTTTTCATGACAAACTTACATGATTCTTTATCCATAAATTAAGGTATAAATCCATTTCTCTTCAGGTTATGCTCGAGTTTCTTCTCCCGAATCGCCAATTAATCTTCGATTGACTTGAAACTTGCGCATATACTTCACTTTACGTGCTAGGACCTGAAATGTGACAAAGGAACACAACCTAGCATAAAATACACCAAGAAATCACAAACTCAAGCCAAAACGATCAAGAAACGAGGGTGAAAACTTGTGCAAATATGATTCTATCAACCCCCAAGTGTGTGCTCTATGAAATGCCTTCAATCCCTTTTTAATTCTCTTCTATCAAGGATAATGAGCACTTGTATTTGTTTTTCACTTGTGTTTATGTATGTCTTCAGTCCTACATCTAGTTAAATGCCTATGGTGGTTAGGATAGTTATTCGGGCTCATTTGTAACACTTTTTGCCCCCGGTTTGCTTTGTCGTTTGAAGCATTTTTACTCCGGGAGGTTTGTTTTTACGCCAGGTTTTGCCTGGTTTTGGTGTTTTCAGAATTTGGCAGGTGGAACCTACCTCGAAGTCGAAAGTTGGACGAAAGGGAGAAAATCAAGTCAAACGGTGGAAACAGCAGCAGATAACGGTTTGGGCCGTGTGTTCATGGTAACTAAGACCGTGAATTGGAGGCGCTACCCATGAACAACTAGGCTTCCAGAGCACAAACAACTTTCATTGGACACAATTCAGTTCATGGTCGTAAGACCATGAACACATGCCATTTCCCGTGAACTGGGATTAGTGATGAAGCGCATGTCGACTTCAGTTCACGGTCTGGGCTTTCAGTTCACAACCGTAAACTAAGACCGTGAACTGAGCTTGATCTGGGTATATAAAGAAGGTTGAGCTAAAGGAGAAAGAGGGAGACCTAGAGTGAGAAACTTCTTCTTCTTCAGATTTCTAGAGTGAGAAAGTGACGAACCAAAGAAGAGGAGAAGCTAGGGTTTAATCTTCAAACAAGGAATTGGGAATTCCTCCCCAAAGGAGGATCTCTTCAACATAAGGAGCAAGGCTAGCATCTCTCTAATGGTTTCCCTTCTTCTCTCTTGTGTTTTCCCTTCTCCTAACATGGAGTAGTTCCTTCTTTCACTTGGGTGTTTGTAAACCCTAGTTACAATTATGTGAATGCTTCTATGGATTGAATGATTTGTGTGTGGTTGTGCTTAAAGTGAATGTGGAGGTATTATTCATGAACGATTGTATTAGCACTTAGGGTTTGGTTGTGGGTGGCCGTCCGAACTTCGATTTGAGGTTGAATTCTAACCAACCCTTAGTCAATAGGTGGAGAGAGTCACGTCGGTGGCTTGGATCATATCCCCTTCCCTCGACCTAGAGACTAAGAGAGTGGCATTGACTACTTGTTACACTTCTCTACGGTTTACAACCCCCTCACCACACACGACTATTCGATCCAACAAGTCGTAATTGCTAGCTAGGGGGAGCAACACCCGGGTGAAGCCTTCTCAATTAGTGTCAAATCCTTTTACCTTTGCAACCGCTTTAGCTATAGATTGTTGTTTTCACCAAAAACCAATTTCTTGATAATGTTTCAAGCAATCAAAGTAGGGGTATATGAACTGACCCGAATGGATATTAAACATACTTGCCTTGTACTGCACCCAGTTAAGATTTATACTTGAGCCTTAATTAGGAGTTTTATTGTGATGCATTCGGGTTGAGTCAGATAATGAGCACTTGTATTGTCTAAAAATTGCTAACCAAACAAGATAGTTCTAAATGACTAGATTCCCAATTGCCTACATTTCTCGAAAGTCTACATTTGAAAAAATGAGTCTTGCAAATGACCCCCAAGTGTGTGCTCTATGAAATGCCTTCAATCCCTCACCTGCAAAATGAGTGTCTATTTAATCCAGAAGTTGACTATTGATCTAACAAAAAATAGTCCATGCATGTTAGAATGAAATAACCTGAAGGCATATTGAAGCAAAAATAATATAGAAACTAACTGCATCGACTAGCAGTGGCTACTGTCGAGGCTGTCCAATAGATCTAAGGTGAGTGATCCGCGGGTGGGAGAGATTTTGATACCATTCCATGAAACTCTCGTGGATATCATATTAGTGCTCACATGGGGTGGATAGAAAATCCAAATGTATCCCATAGCTCAATAATTTGGCCCTGAAATGATCTACATTCTCATCCTATGTTACAATATAGTTGTTGCTAGAATTTAGACGATAATAGTCATCTGGGTAATCATTATATGTGTGATCTTTTTAAATATCCCAACAATCACAAATAAAGTGAATGATTACAACACTCTAAACCACATTAGAAAATCATATGACACCATTATACAAAGAATGTTGTACCTCAATGCCTACATCTCGTTTATATGGTGTTTGAGTCACATCCTCCCTAACATTTCATCTAATATCCTATGACAACCTATAAAACACTCTTTAGCATAATCCCGACCTAACATACGGTGATACACCCATGATGAAGCATGGGGAGCCTCTGCAGGATATAACTACTTGTCCTACCAAAATATGGGAAATTACTCATATATCAAACATGTAGGAGGTTAAAACATCTACAAAGACACCTTATTACCAACCTGTGTCACCAACCTTAGATGCCTGTAAAGATAAGCAAGAACCCCACCTCCCCAAGCATAATCGGTCTCAGAATAGTGGTGTCGTAGAAACAAGTTGATCACAAGACAAATGAGATAGCGAATCTTGTCTACAATTAGTGTAGACTTCATCAGAATGAACAAGATACAACACACCCCAACCTCTTCATCCCTAAGTCTTGAGCATGAACCATTGTAGGCTCACCATGAAGGGCACAATTCATGTAGCACTTAGCTTTCTAATTCCCACCAATAGAATTATCCAAGACACCAATCAAGAGTCAAAGAATACTACCCATGCCTGCCTTCATAACATCTGGTTGTTTATCATCCGCATCATTTCTCCCTCCATTGGAAGAAAGAAAATGTGATGCGGCACGTAGAATGAGTTGGTGTCTGGATGTCACCTCTCCGCCAATGTCCTTAGAAGAGCAACATCTAGATGTTGCATTGTAAACCCTATCAAATGAGACAACTTTGTACCCCCAAACCATTGATTTAGAACCCTTCCATCTCCAATAGTATCACCATAAAGAGTCACCGAACCAGTCCCTTGGAAGCAATCCAACACCCACGATGCTTCTCAGGCAAAGTTCGGAGTACATGGGCCACGTGCCTTGCAAAGCTGGGGATCAAGTGGAAACACCGGTCTGCCTAAACACAAATCATAATCCAAAGTAATAAGCCATGACATGTTATCATATTTTAAATAGATATTATAGATAAACAATCAAATTAACTCTAAATTTATATAAATTACCAAATCTAAAATTTCTATGCACATACATTATATTTATTTATTAAAAGATCTTAATTGTATATGACAAATAAAGTATCTAAATTCTAAAATATTTGAGTAGTTTATTCAATTTTCAACTAAATTGAACAAAATGTTTGATAACATTGTATTTGAACATATTTAGCCCGTCGTTTCTTGATCATTAAAGCTTGCATTATCGCTTCTTTGGCCCATTTTATGCTGGATTGTGTTTCTTTGTCACATTTCAGGTCCTAGCACGTAAAGTGAAGCATATGCCCAAGTTTCAAGTAAATCAGAGATCAATTGGCGACTCGGGAGAAGAAACTCGAGCATGACCTGAGGAAGAATGGATTTCTACCTCATTTTATGGACAGAGAATCATGTAAGCTTGTCATGAAAATAAAGAGGACAAGACTACAAGCATCTGGGATAAAACGACATGTGATTCAGAGTCCGAATGAGAGAGAAACAAAACATCAAAGACAGTGGAACATGAACAATGAATTCCACGGGTCGAAGAGCCAATTCCACGACCGTGGATTTAGGTTTCAGACCGTGGAATATGAACAGTGAGTTCCACGGTCGTAAGAACATATTCCAAGACTGTGGAACTCAAGGGGTGACCATGTAACATTCAAGCAGCAGGTATAAAGGCTCATTTTATGCTTTTTTGTATAGGGAGAGCTGGGTTTTGGATCCCAAACACCCAAGGGACGAATCCTAGAGGGAGAGCACCTTGGGATCATTCTTGGGGCTATTTTGGAGGATTTCTTCACCACTAAAGATTGGGAATCAAGCCTGGAGATGGAGATTGAAGGTCTAGATCAAATTTCTGCATTCTCTCTCTTCTGTATGGAGTAACTTCCCTTCACTTAGGTTTTGTGGAACCCTAGATTTGTATGATAGGAAGAGGTATCTGAACCTATTTTCATGGATGATTGATTATTTTATATTAAATTGAGGCATTATTTAGAATTGCATGAGTCCTGATTAAATTCCTCTGATATATGCTTTAACCTAGAACGATAGTCTCTGCATAGGTTAATAGAGCAACCTGAATGGGAAGTAGTGAATCGATTGCTTTAGTCGAGACGTCGTTCACTGCTCTGTACTGGTGTAAACCCAGTAGATGAATTTTGAATCTTATTGCCTTGGTTAGGTTATTCCAGTGGAGATAAGTCACTCGATGGTAATCTATTTAAGAGGGTATGGAACACTTTAGTCGAGACTCCAGACTTGTCAAGAACTTTCCGCAGTGTAAATGTCAGCTGAATTGAATTGTTGTGAATTAAAACTTGGCCGAACTTCAATCTAGGGGAATCATACCTAAGTGAGTACGCAACTTGTAATTAGATTAACTTTATCTTTAGTTTTCTAGAGTAGTTATAGTTCTTCTATCTTAATATGGTTTACTAGATAATGAACTGAACTGCACTCCTGTTCATTGGTTACAATTGGCCATTGTTAGGAGATTTTGTTTTAGCTAGTCAAGTTTTTGGCGCCTTTGCCGAGGAATTTCCAGATTATTAGGAAAGGCCTAGGTTTGTTACTTAATTAAGTGTTTTTCTTTCCTTTTCCTCCCTTGCTTTTCACTTTGCTATTTTGTTTTTGTTGGTGCAGATCTGAAACATGGATCCTCATGGCTTCTCCAACCATTGGGGGTATCCACAACCACCCGAGTAGTATTACCCTGAGACTTCCTGGAGCAATCAAGGAGGAGAAAACTATGGATTCGAGTTTCATTACCAACCACATTACTACGAAGAACAAGTAGACCCTTTGGCACCTTAAGAACAATCTCCGTATCAAGAAGAATTCCTCCCACAAACAAATGGGCCGTTTGAGTTGGAGTTAGCCATGGTGGACTTCATGGGCCATTCTGCATAGCCATGCTACACTCCATGGCTTGATCCAAACAGTCAATTGAAGCTACTCAAGGATCAGTTTGTTCGAAAGCCGAGAGATCCTTCCCAAAGATGGACCTCTTAATCCAAGCTATTGCTCCACCTGACCCTTCCTTTCTCAGTGAAACAGAGGAGGTCGTTTGACGCTCATCAAAGAAAACAAAGTGGGTTGAGCAAGTATGCGCACAACTTGCTCAAGATTTCCTTTCTGCTTACATACAAGAAGAGAAGGAGTATGAAGAGGACATTGTGGAGCAGACAGAAGTTTGCAAGGAGAGCTCCTATGATGATCATGATCAGGAATGTCCTATTGTTGGTGACT